CAGGCGGGGGGGGGAGGTTTTGGGGGGGGGGGGGTGTCCCCGGCCCCCTGTCACCTACCTCGTGACACCCAGGCATGGTGGACGTGATCTTTGCGGACGTCGCGCAGCCCGACCAGTCGCGCATCGTGGCCCTCAACGCCCACAACTTCCTGCGCAATGGTGGCCACTTCGTTATCTCCATCAAGGTAACGAGCGGGGCGGGTTGCCGATGGGCCAGTGACAACCAGTAGTGACCCCTGATGGGCCAGTGACAAGCAGAAATGACCAGTTATCAGCCAGTGACAACCACTAATGAGCCAGTGACAACCAGTGATGACCAGTAATGGACCAGTGACAACCAGTAAGAGGCCAGTAACAGCTAGCAGTGACCAGTAATGGTCAGTGATAGCCAGTAATGGAGCAGTGACAGCTAGTTATGAAGCACCAATGGACCGGTAACAACCAGTAGTGACCAGTATGGGCCAGTGACAACCAGTAACGACCAGTAACGCACTGAGGACAGCAACTAAGGACCAGTAGCAGACTGATGACATCCCATAGCAAACCAGTAACAGGGCAATGACGACCAGTAGTGACAAAGAAGAGCCACTGACAACCAGTAACAGGGCAGCGATGGCCAGTGACAGGCCAGGAATAACTGGTGGCAACCAGTAACAGCCCAGTAATGACCAGTATCAGCCTGGGATGCACCAGTAGTGACTAGTAACACCCTAGAGACAGCCCAGTAGTGACCAGTAACAACTGGAAGCAACCCCAGTAATGACCAGTGACAGCCCAGAGCTTCCGAGTAATGACCGGTAACGCCCTAGAGACAGCCCAGTAACGACCAGTAATGACCCGTAGCAATCGAGGGGCTCCCAGTAACAACCAGTTAAGACCCAGTAAGAACCAGTAATACCAGGGACATCCTGGGGAGGGGGGCAGTTCCCCTCCCATCTCAGTTTCTGCCCCAGGACTCCCCATTTTTGCCCCAAAATCTCCATTTCTGCCCTGAGACTCCCAATTTTTGCCCCAGGATCCCCCTTTCTGCCCAAGGACTCCCCATTTTTGGGGCATTTCACCCCAAGACTCCCCCTATTTGTGTTTTTTCCCCCTCCTATGCCCATTCCTGCCCCGAGACTCCCCATTTTTGGGGGATTTCACCCCAAGACTCCCCATATTTGGGTTTTTTCCCCCTCCTATGCCCATTCCTGCCCCGGGACTCCCCATTGTGGGGGATTTCACCCCAAGACTCCCCAT